CTCGGCCCTGCTGGCCCTCAGCCCCAGGCTCTCAGGACAGGCCAGCTTCCTTCCCTGAGACTCAGCTCCCTCCGCTGTAAAACAGGGATGTGGTATTAAGGATAGCACTGACTGTGCCAGGAACCTCCCTTAGAACCGTGAAGTACTGAACTTCTTAAGGAATTGTTGTTAAAATTTTATCCTAATGGCAGCTGTTAATTTCCTTTCTGCCTGATTAAATGTGAATTGTCCTGGTTTGGGGGACTTTTCTGATTGTGTTTATTGTCAAGTTGAGTTTGCCCAACCGAAAAAATTCAGGTGGGTTAGGACATTTATTTTTGTGCTTATTATGTGACAGATAATGTTCTAGCTGTTTTATGTATGTTATTTCTTTTAGTTATCTACAAACCTTGAAGCATTATCATGCATTGTACTGATGATGTGTACATTACACTTACCAGAATTATATTATCACCAGTAACTGATGATAACTATTATTTATTTATTTATTTATATTTATTGGCAGCTGGCCGGTACAGGAATTGAACCCTGGACCGTGGTGTTATCAGCACCATGCTGTAAGTGTGTTACCATCAATTTAGAGGAGGGGACACTGAAGCTTAGGTTGGGAAGCTTGCTTCAGATCACACAGCTAGAGCCATGAATTAAAAACATCAATTTCCACCTGTCTCTTATTTTACCTAAGTCCATACAAGAGTGAGCATAAACTGATACAGAGTCTGTAGGCCACAGATAAGCCAAAATAATTTGTTTGGTTTTGGAATGGAATGAAATACACACACACACACACACACACACTTTGGAATGGAATGAAATACACACACACACACACGTTACCTTCTTTAAAATTATTATTACCTGGTTTGTCTCTGTTCTGCTTTAGTTCTCGCTTGTCAAGGGTTTAGGATGTGGGTCAGCTGATAATATGTTTATCCTCATGGAGAGTTCGCCATGGGCCTCACTGGAGAAGGGTGGCTCCCCTTGAAGAGATGCCTGCATAACATCCTGGACTTGTCATCAGAAGGCCTGGGTATGAGCTCTAGGTCTGCCTGTACTGGACTCATGACCTTGGACAAGTCACTTCACCTTAGCATGTCCTGGTCTCTCTATCAATAAAATGGGGGGGGGGGGCTAGGGTTTCAGGATTCTAGTTAGGGCTGCTTTTCTTGGGCTGTCTAAAGGAAGTCACTTGCCCAGAACCTGAGATCCTCACTGGCTCCTTAATCCCAATGTGGTATGAGTTTGTAGGAAAAGTTGGTTGGGAAGAATTTGGGGCAGTTGAATGTTCAAGATGACTCAGCCATTCGCTAGCCTGGATTCACCCTGCACCTGCTGGGGAGGGCCCCTACCAACAGGAACCCAACCTGCAGGTCTGAGAACAGGCTCATCTGAACCTTTACTCCCAATCATTTCATTCTTGCCTGTGTTCTTGCTGGAGAGCTTTGGGGAACAAAGCACAGAGGCAGTGGGTGACACTGGAATTAAATGCCTGCCCAGACCAGTGCCCCCCAGGTCAGCCACCCTCCCCACTTCCTCCTGGAGGGGGTGCAGTGAAGGTTCATTCTCAATTTACTTTGAGATATACCCTATGATATTTCAGAGCAATGCATTTCTATTCCTAGCAGTATTTACCTCAGGTCATATAAAAATGAGTCTGTAATCCTTGGGTGAGGGCCCAGTCTCCATTGGTTCTTTTGCTGCTGATAAACCCATCAAGTAGCTGAGGCCGGCTGGATAGGCATGAGTTGGTTCTTGTGCCAGCCTTGTACAAATGTCATTGCTGATGTTGTACAAGGTATTTTCACATATTGTCTCCTTAAAGCTCCCCACAGTCCTGAGTTACTACCCCTGGAGACTGATGAGGAAGTTGAGCTTCAGAGACAGGTAGGGATTTGTCCAAGGCCAGGATCTGGCCCCACATCCTAGATTTCCAGTGTAGCATGCTGTCCCCTCCACAGCTACAGGTGGAGTTGAGGACTTTCAGGGAACAGTAAACTGCCGTGTGGGGCAGCATCTCCAGGCCGCCCCCTCACACATGCTTCAGAGCTCCTAGGGGAGGGAGAAACAGACAGGATTTTAGTCCCCAGTGGCTGAGACCCACAGGGTGACTTGGCTTTGCTGAAGCCCCAGACCAGGAAATGGGCTGTAGGAAGAACCATGAGGGTGGGGTCAAAAAGGAGCCTGCCACCGGCTTGGAGGAGCGAGCTGGAGTTTTTGATGTTCCTGCAGCACCTAAGAGTTAGAGCCCATCTGCATGCAGCTCTGTGAGGCTGGGGGCTCTGTTGAGGCTGCAGAGAGGCGAGAACAAGGAGTACTCTGGAGAGGCGAAAACATTGTGTCCTCCAGCCTGCTCAGTCTGTGCAAGACAGGAAATTCCTCAATTCTCCTGAGGCAGCCAGCTTTCCTGACTGCTGCAGCCCAGTCGAGAAACAAGACAGATCTATGCATCTCCAATGTGGGGGTCCCCAAGTCCCCTCAGGGTCTTCTGCCAGGGCCCCCAGCTGCCCTCCATCAAAGGCAGCAATGTCTGGGCTGGGGGCGCAGGAGAGCAGCAACCTTGAGAGCCCCATTTTCTGTCGGGGACCTGAGGGCTGTCTGCACATGCCATCTTGCTTTGGGAAGAGTTTCCCTCCTGCCTCCTGGGCCTTCCCAGCCTCTCCCCATCACATTCTCAGATGCTGGGCTAGGAGAGCTTTGAAGTGGAACGATTTTGTTTTCAGTGGCAACAGCTATAAATTCAGTAGCAAGTTTGCAGTTAGGCCTTGCCAGGCTTGTAAAGCACCTAGGAAACCTATCCCTGCGGCTCCAGGCTTCCCGAAGAAGGCCTGGTATTTGTAGCCCTGTGCTGACAACCCAAAATACCAGAGTCCCTTTCCCCAAAACTTTAGAGTTTAATTTAGAGATGTCCTATCCTTCCGCATCTCAACTCCTGCACCTGTCAAAAACAAACAAAAAATCTAAAAGCGAATTATTGAAAGAGCCACCTGGTCCCAGGACAAAGGGAAGGATCAAAGACCAGGCAGCCGTGTACTCAGCCTGCACCAGGGCTGTCCTGGGTGTGAAGCACACACACTTAGTGGCCTCTTCCCCCTCGAGCTAATATGAGGCAGGGTCAAAGCTCAGCTTGAGGGAAGGTTCCAACAATGAGGAAAAGCCTGTTTGTCACTTCATCTCCACAGAGGACTGATTGGGAGTGAGTGGATGGACCAGCCCTGCTCGCAGCACGTTCTGCACATTCTGGCTTTTGTCCTTTATTGGCTGGTGCACTCCCTCATTCTCTCCCTCTCAGACATTGACTTGTTCCCCCAGTTTTTATTGAGGTATTATTGATGTACAATAAACTGCATGTATTTGTTTAATTTGAAGAATTTTGACATATATATACACACATCCATGAAACCTTCACACAATTTTCAAAAATGGACATCTCCCTCGCCCCCAAATGTTTATATATATATATATATATATATATATATTCATTCTATATGTTCATCTCCTTCACCCCTATATAATTATCCCCCAACCCCTGCCACACACAACCACTGATCTGCTTTCTGTCACTTTACTTTGCATTTTCTAGAATTTTATATAAATGGAATCATTCGCTATGTATTCTTTCTTTGGCCGCTTTCATTCAACATAATTATCGTGAGATTCATCCCTGTTGAGCTGTCGTGCAATACTTCATTCCTTTTTATTGCTGAGTAGTATTCCATTGTATGGATATATTACAGTTTATTTATTCGCTTGTTGATGGACATTTGGGTCATTTCTAGTTTAGGACTGTTGTGAAGAAAGCTGCTGTGCATGTTTCTGTTATAAGTCTTGGCATGGATATATGCTTTCATTTTTCTTGGGTAAATTACCTACGAGTAGAATGACTGGATCATATGGGAAGTGCATGTTTAGCTTTTTAAGAAACTGTCAAAAGGATCTGTACCATTTTACACTCTCACCAGCAGCGTATGACGGTTTAGGTTGCTCCACATACTTGCCAATACTGATTCTTGGGATGATCGATCTCTTTAATTTTAGCCGTTCTAATGAGTGTAGTGTCTTTGGCTTTCTTGAGGTGTTTAAAATCTCATAAAATGGGAGTGGAGCACCATCTAATCATAGAAAATGTCAAGGAAGCTCTTCAGTTCTGTTTTGTGAGAGACACCAAGATATATCATTAAGTTAAAAAGCAAGATGTCAATCATTGTATATAGTGTGCTATAATTTATTTATTTATTTATTTATTTATTTTGTCTTTTTTTTTTCGTGCCCGGCAACGGATCGCAACCCTCAGTGTCGCGCCCGTACCGGACTGGGACCGGCAACGGGATCGCAACCCTCGGCGTTGCCCCCGCTCCTCGCTCAGCCAGTGAGCGGCCGGTTTGTATGTGGGATCCGAACCCTCGGCGGGAGCGCCGCCGCGCTCCCAAGCGGCGCACTGTATCAGTGCGCCACCGGGCCGGCCCTATTATTTATTTTTAAGAAAGAAAAAAGAGAATATGCCTATTAGCTTGTGTACACTATACACATAGATCATTTCCGGCAAGACGAACAAGAAACTGAAAATTGGTTGCTTCCAGGGAGGGACACCTGATGGGACAGGGATGGGAGAGAGGCTTTACACATATGTTGGTACCTTTTGAATCTTGTGCCATGTGAGTATATCACTTATTTTTAAAACCAAATAAAATTTAAGAGAGAAAAGTCTCATAAGATGCCAAGTACTAGCTTTCCCCTTGCAGTTCTCTTGAGGAACCAGAGCCGAGACTGGGCATGGCTCTGCAGAGGTCTCATGTTTCATTCCCTGCTGTCACACCAAGCAGAGAGATGGGATGCGCCTTGTTTGTAATGGTCTCCAGGGCCTCCAAACACTGTCTGCTAGCAGTAAGTTTCTGGTGGGATCCTGAGCCTCAGGAGTCATATACCAAGTGCTCATTTAGTCTATGTTTGTTGAATGAATGAATGAATGTTCACCCACGTTCTGTTGTCTACCTATCACACAGAGAAGAAGAGCAACGGGAAGAGTGAGTACCTACAGCCCATGGTGCCCGTCTTCCTTCAGGGCCTGTCTGATCTCAAAGTCATGGATGGAAGCCAGGTCACCATGACGGTCCAGGTGTCAGGTGTGTCTCTGCATGGCTGTCCTCAGGGTGTACATGAAAACGGTCACATTGCAGCATGAGTATTGCTCCCCAAGGGCCTGCTCAGATCCTTAATCCACCAGAAAATCAGCATAGGACCATCAAGCAGTGGGCCCAAAGATATGGGGCCTCTTGGTCTCTCTTTTCTGCCTTCTCTGGGTAGAATTTTCTGGATTCAAAGTTAAATGGTCCAGAGGAAGAAGATGGCTATAGCTAGAGGGGTGAGGGATTAATTTGAAAACATAGTGTGGCCTATGTAGCTATAATGTTTTGAAGACTAGTATAAAACCAGATTATGTGAGAATTCCCAACTCTCAGATGATATTCCCAGTTGTGCTATTCAGATTTTAATGTGAGAGGAAGGAGTAGAGGTTCTTCTAAAATGGGCAGGGAAACAAGAGCATGTGATTAGCATCCCAGTCTGAGATATCACAGTCCTTGCTAGAAGTGAGCAAGAGAAGCCTGGAGACACCCCTGGCATGACGCTCTTGGCTGGAACAGCCATAGTTTGCCATTTAGTGTATAAATGGTTGTTGACCATTGATCAGTGCCTCTGACAGCCTGGAGGTCGCATTCCTGGTTTTTTTAGTTCCTCTGGAGCTGCGGAAGCAATGAAGATGAGCTGTGAGAGAACCCATGGGTGCAGCCTTTAGGGATGCTCAATGAACTCTGTTCTTGCAGGCTGGAGGCCATTTTGTGACAGTCCTAGGCAGAGGCAGTCCATCCCCTGCCATGCTCACTAGGCCACTGTCTGAGATCTCAAGGTGGAAGCACTCGCAGGCTCTCTGCACCTGACCTCCAGCCAGGCGACATCTGCTCTCGTTTGAGCCTCTCGCGTGCCCGCTGTCTCACAGCCTGCCTGGCAGGCCAGTCCTGGGCCTTGCTCCTCGGGAAGCAGGCCTCATGGCTCAGCTCTGAGATGTCAGGAAATCCTCCTAGTGGTCCTTGTTTTATGCCCCAACACATTCCTAGAAACTGCCCAGAAAAGTAGACTAGTAAAATCTGGAAATGCTACCTGCCAAGAGCTGCGTTTGGAAATCCAGTGCCTGCTGGTGCCCATCTTTGCCCGGGGATGACGTTCATGTGGTAGCACAATGACATGCTAACTGAGCTCTCCTCCTGGTGAAGATTTAAAGTAGACTAGTAAAATCTGGAAATGCTACCTGCCAAGAGCTGCGTTTGGAAATCCAGTGCATGCTGGTGCCCATCTTTGCCCGGGGATGACGTTCATGTGGTAGCACAATGACATGCTAACTGAGCTCTCCTCCTGGTGAAGATTTACAATGACATGCTAACTGAGCTCTCCTCCTGGTGAAGATTTACAAGGGTGGCACCATGAATGCCTCGACTTCCCAGGTGTGGATGCCCCACGGGAGGCAGTACAGTGTGAACCCAGTAATCCACTCACATTAGGAATTATCAAGCAGTTTGGATTCTACTTTTATAAACCATTCTTCCTGGCATTCCATTCTTTCTTTTTCATCTCTGAAATCATATTTTCACTTCTGGGTTCTTTCTAGTTTCCTGAAATCTGTGGTTAAATGATTATAATGAATGTGTATTGACTGTTTTCTGTGTGTCAGATGCTATTCTAATCTGCTGTTCTAATGGGCTGCTAAGGGAGGTTTGAGAGTTAGACAGTGTTACAATCTCTGTTTTATGGATGGGGAAACTGAAGCGTAGAGAATTTGGTAGAGGATTTAGTACCATATTACAGTACTAAGTGTGGAGCTACCACGTGGCCAGGGAAGTACCTTCCTGACCAGTCCCCTTGCCCCTTCTCCACGTTCAGGTAATCCACCCCCTGAGGTCATCTGGCTTCACAACGGGAATGAGATCCAGGAGTCAGAGGATTTTCACTTTGAACAGAGAGGCTCTCGGCACAGCCTTTGTATCCAGGAGGTGTTCCCAGAGGACACTGGCACATACACTTGTGAAGCCTGGAACAGCGCGGGAGAGGTCCGCACTCAGGCCGTGCTCACAGTGCAAGGTGAGGCCAGCCTGCTCACCTTTGAGCATCTGGGGAGGGGTTGCTGCTGTGGCCTCTCCACAAGCCATTTGGAGCTGAGGAAACCACGTGGGCCTGCTTTGTTCTCTGCTCCCTTGGTTCTAGCCCAGCCCCAGAGGCTGGTTACCTATCCCACATCCCAAGCTCTGGCTGAGTGGGGCTGCCCTGCCCAGCCTTCTGAAGTCCCTCTCCTCTCAGGGTTACTGATGACAAGCTGCATGGAGTGCTAAGAGGGAAATGTGTAATGCACTTAACAATTTGGCAGTGATAGCTTACAAAGTGAGTGTGGGCTTATCAGAGTTGTTGCCTTTAGAGAACTTCTGCTTAAGAGAAGAGGCAAGTTAAGCCCACATAACGCGCATGACAACTCTTCATTATGCACACCTGATGCAGATTGTTAGCACCTAGCCCAGGCTACCTCCCCTTGCTTTGCATGTACAAATTCACACTCATATTATCCTCTGAGAATGTAACAAAGACAAATTTGCAATGAGAAGGATGTGCTGTAACGCATATCCATTCTAAGTGATTTCTGGACAAGCTCTCATTGTGTTGACACTGTCTTCCCGCCCTTCACCACCATGGAGAATTGAGTGGAGGCTGTCTGCTGAAGGTCCTCCCTCTTAGCTATACCCTCTGCCAACTTCCAGAGCCTCATGATGGCACCCAGCCCTGGTTCATCAGCAAGCCTCGCTCGGTGACAGCCTCCCTGGGCCAGAGTGTCCTCATTTCCTGTGCCATAGCTGGGGATCCCTTTCCCACTGTGCACTGGCTCCGAGATGGCAAAGCCCTCTGCAAAGACATTGGCCACTTCGAGGTGCTACAGAATGAGGATGTTTTCACCCTGGTTCTCAAGAACGTGCAGCCCCGGCACGCTGGCCAGTACGAGATCCTGCTCAAGTGAGTCTGCAAGGCCTGCTGGCCTCCCCTAAACCCTCTCCCAAAACTCCTTGCTCCCCTGACCTGGGACTGGGGAACCAGAGGAAGTACACACTGACGTGGCTTGCTCTTCAAGATAAAGCAAGTGTAGGCTCGGTGCTGTTGACAAGTTGCTGTTTCCTCCACTTCAGCCTAACAGATTCTCATTGAGAACTTCCCTTCTGGGCTCATTCCCCAGAATCCTCTGTCTCATTACCTCCAGGGTCTCGTTCCCTCATTGTGTGGTATATGGAAAATAGGAAGGATGGAGAAATGAATTAAAATTGGAAAAGTAGGAAGATAGAGGAAATGAATTAGTTATCCATTGCTGTGTGACAAATCACCCCCAAACAGCAGTTTGAAACAACAAACATTTTTATTTCACAGTTTCTGTGGGCTGGGAATTTGGAAGCAGCTTAGCCTGGTGGTTTTGAAGTTGCAGTCAAGATGTCAACAGGGGCTGCAATCTCTGAAGGTGTGACTGGGACTGGAGGATCGGCTTCCGAGATGGCTCCTTCACTAGCTGTGGGCAGGAGTCTCCATTCCTTGCCACGTGGGCCTCCCCAGAGGGCTGCTGGGTGTCTTCATGACATGGAAGCTTCCCTAGACTGCGTGATCCCAGAGAGAGCACAAGTTGGAATCTGCAGTGTCCTTTGTGACCTACACTTGGAAGTCACACACTGTCATTCCCAACATTCTGTGTTTAGAAGTGAGTCATTAAGTACAACTCCTACTCAAGCGGAGGGGAATTAAGTTCCACCTCTTGGAGAGAGGAGTATCAAAGAATTTGTAGACATTTTAAAAACCACCACAGGGAGGCTAACTCTCCCTTTCCTTCTTTCTTGCTTTTTCAAGGCCTTGCTAGGTTACGCAGGAAGCTAAGCTCCATGAAGGCACACTGCTGTGTTTCCAGGCCTAGAACAGTATCTGGCCCATAGTCAGCATTTGGTAACTATTTGTTAAATGAATGTGATATAGAAATGTTCTTCTACCTTTAAAATGCTCCAATTCTTAAAATTCTGTGCTAACCCTGATAGGTGGGGACAGAACGCCTGCCGTGGGTCCTAGGTTTGGTGTGAGCATTGAGGAAGAGTGCTGGTCTGTGCCTTAACCTGCAAGTGGCAGTGTGCCCCGGCTCGGGTGCCTGGCTGCTTGGCAAGGGGATTCCTCTCCTGGAGTTCATCATTCCCCCTCAGTGGGCCCATCATGTTCAAGGCCCTGAGCTACAAATAGGCTCTGTAGCTACATGCCAAGGCTGCTGTCATGATGGAACATCATGCCTACAATAGTTACAAACACCAGTATGTACCCCGTCCCCTTGGGTCCTTTCTGGGCATGTTCTTTATACTTGTATCTGTTAGCTTTTGTTGTATAACAAACCACCCCACATACTTGGTGGCGTTTAAGAAAATAGTCAATTTTTAAAAAGCCATTTATTATTTCTTAGTATTTCTTAGGAGTCTTTGGGTCTGCTAGGAAGTTCTGCTGACCTGGGCAAGGCTCAATGAATCTCAGCTGAGCTCAGTGACATGCCTGTGGTCAGCTGATGGGATGGTCATGGGCTCTTAGCCACCCTGCTGCCATCAGCAGTGTGCTCGGAACACATCAATTCTCTCTGCCTTGTGCCCAAGCCAGTTATTACTAGGAAGGCAAATCTATCTCCCAAATGGGAGAAGATACACTCTTATTCCCTGAGCCAGTGCGAAGAATAGAAAATACTTGCCAATGAGCTTGTCTGCATAGGAATAGCACTTTGAGACAGTACTCACATTAATCATGCTAGACATACTAGAGGAGATGAGCTTTTTGTGGGATTCTGAGGAAAAAGGAAAAGCTGAGTCTCAGCAAATGAGAAAAGGTTTGGCTGCTGAATAGGCTGTGTGTGTGGGGGGGGGGGGGTATAAAGCAGAGGGCTACAGGACATGTGCCAGGCCAGAGAGGAGGGCTGCATTGGGAGGTCGGCAGGCAGACTGTCTGGGGCCAGCTGAGGACAGCCATAAAACTTAGGACAACCATAAAACTTAGACTGTCCCAGCTGGGAGGGACTTCAGAAGTTATCTAGCCTCCTCCTCATGTAATAACAGAGAAACTGAGGTCTCAGGGTCGCAGACTTGCTCATGGCCACCCAAAGGTGAGCAGTAGCAGAGCCCGAGTTCAAACCTCATCTTCTGACTTAAATCAGATGCCTGTCCCTTCCTTATGGTCCAGTATGTGGGGTTTCTCAAATGCACTGGGAACTTGGGGGGCCTGGGGAACCATATGGAGCCTCCACCCATGCAGCCCTGGGCTCTTTTCCCTCCGAAAATCCAGCCTCTTTATTCCTTTGACAGTCTGTTGTCCTGGCCTTGGCTTTGTCCCCAGCTGAAAATGAGCAAGTCAGTGGAAAGTTCTCCTGGGAGGTGTATACCAGGCCTGCCAGGGGCCTCATTCCACCCCTCAGACACTCCCCACTCCCCCAGCTTTTCTGATCCTGACAGAAATCAGACCTAGGCCCAAGGCGGAATGCCTTTCAAGGGGGAAGACTGGATGGCATGGAGGAAGTGGGGTGTGTGTGGGGGAGGCAGGTTCTGTTTGTTCCTGCTAAAGTGTGAGGCAGGTATGGGTCATCATTTCTACCTTCTCTTCCCTTCCCTAGATCTAGTCTCCTGTACCGAAAGGGGAAATGTCAAAATGTCAGCTCTGAATTCCAGCTGGAGTGTTTGAAAAATTGATACTTGCCAGGACATTAGTTCTTTAAACTAATTTTACATATAAAATCCATCCCAGAGGTTGGGTATTCAGAGTGTACAGGATCCAAGGCTTTGTAGCCAGAGTGGGCTTCTCATTCAAGGCTTGAGAAGCAGGGGCAAAAGCGTCTGTTAGTTTGTGAAAGGCACAGCACACAGGCTGGTAGCCCCTATCCTTTGTGGCAGCAGCTGGGATGAGGCCTCGTCCTCAGCCCCAGACTAGTCTTGCAACTGGGTATGTGCAGATGCCAAAAATGGCCCCAATATGCTGTTCCAGCTGGCGAGGTTATCTGGCATGTGGGTCCCAGGCAAGAGGCCCCTCTGACCTATGTGGGCTCCAAATGAACCCATGATTTGCCTTAAAGGCCCAGCAGAGATTTAAATTTAGGGCTGTAGAAGTAGTTACCCCCAGGTCACCCCCCAAGACATGATGCACTTAGTGGGCCAGCCTTGGAATCCAGATTCTCCACCATCCACTGCCCAACTCATGCCTGGGTGCTTCAGGGTGAGGCCTTGAGGGGCTCATCTGTGTCTGTGTTTCCTGCCTTGAGGACAGGTCATGGAAACAACAGAAGCCTTGTCCTTCCTGCCCCACGGGGAGATACAGCATCCTCCAGCCCTGGGAACAGGGCTCCCCACCATTTAGAGCCTCTGAGGGGCTTTGCTGGACTAAAACAGGGCTATCTGGTCAGTGTCTGTTCCTGATGTTTGCATCTGGGCTGGGTTCTACTTGTGACAGGAGGAAACTCAGCTGAGGAGATGTCAAAAAGGGCCACCAGGTAAACATAGCTCCTGGGCATCTGATTTTCTTGCTCCATGTCAACCTGGGCACCACAGCACTGTGCTTGAAAGAAAAGTGGGAAAAGAATGGGCTAGCACTGGCCAGCAGCCTGCAGAAGCGTGCCAGGGGGCTAGGCCTCAGCCCCAAAATGACCTCACGTGGTCATTGTGCAAGTTGACCCAAGGCCCATAAGCCTTTCTGAGCATTGAGAGCTTAGGGTGCTCTGACTTAGTCTTCCCATTGGCACTAAATGAGGCTCCTAATTGCTGTTTGTTGAACAAAGAAGCATCCTGGGCCCTAAAATTCTCCAGACATGAGGCTCTTTGAACCTTAAATCTGTGCCCTCAGAGCTTGAGCACTGAGGAGGGTGACCAGGAGGGGATGGGCTATATGGGATGGGTGGCCAGGGAGGAGAGAGGAGTAAAAGAGCTAAAGTAGCCAGGAAGGCACTGCACTGGTGCAGCCTGGGACAGCAGGAGGGCACTGTGGAAAGGGACAAAGCAGGGGACGCCAATAGGTGAGAAGAGAGTTGGAAGGTAGCTTCAAATGGGTCCCAGCACCCAGGAGTCATCAGCAACCCCTGTATCCCCCGAGGATCATGTGCCATGCCGTGCATGGGTTGCCAGTATCTGTCCACTGGGAGGGAGGCCAGGCAAAGTGAGGGAGATACCCACACAGCAGAAGAACACACATGAGCACACCCTCAGATGTCTGTCCATATGCGTACAACTTAGTGTGCCCACTTATTTCCAAACTTGAACCTCCAGGTGCAGGTGCCTGCCAGGTAGACCCATATATGTGTGGATTCCTGCATGTGGTTGACATTTACATATGCATATAGACGCACATGTGTGCGTGCACACACACACACACCAGAACAGATTGTACTGGGGGCACTGTAGGGCGGGTACGAAGGTCAAAGTTCTTGGATTCAGGTAGACAGAGCCAGGTCCCATCCCCTTTCTCCAATAGTTAACTTTGAGAGTTTAGACAAATTACTTAACCTTTATAGGCCTCATTTTTCTTACTTACGAAAACAGTGCTGACTCCAACTAACAGAGCTGTCATAGATTAAGAGAGATGGATCACGTATGAAACCTGTCACAGAGCATAGCACATCTGTCATGTGTTGGCCCTTGTGGTGCTAGTGAGACAGTCACATCTAGAGGACTGTGTTGAAGCTCAGAGGCCCTGAGAGTCCCAGCACTGCTTCACGTAAACCCTGAGCCTCCTTTCCTTAACTTTGAAATGAGCATAGTAGTATCCTACACCTGACTATGGGAGCAAGAAAGACAACAGGTGTGAAAGTCGTGAAAGCTGGAGGCACTATATAAAATGCAGTCGTTATGATCATGAAGTCTCCTGTGGCTCTCAGACCTGCCCCTTCTGCTCCAGTCTGAGCAGAACCTCCTTGGCTGGTCTGAGCTAGAAACACCAGCAGGTGGCAGCCTTGCAGGGCAGCAAGGATGGCCTGCAGTAAATGCAGGCACTGTGGCACCCACGCATGGCACAGCCTCCTCCCCTGAGCAAAGAGGCCTCAGCCGCCGTGTCACAGGAGACTGAATGGGTTTATGGACCTGAAGAATCCAGAACCCTCCCCACTTGAAGGAAGAAAAGAAAGGGCCTCCCATGTAGGGAGACACCTGTTAGGTTTTTAACACAAAAAGTTCTAAGAACATTAGTGGTGAGTGGAGGTTGGGGGTTTTTCATTCCATGAGCAGAAGAGAAGTAGCAGCTGGGGAAGTAACCACCTCTGTGTTAGGAGAGCATGAAGTCAAGCTCAAGGTCACTGAGCAGGCTGACCAGAACCTGTCCGTCTAGACCTAGCAGCTCCATCACAGTCCCCAGCAGAGCTAGTCTTCATTCCTCTTCTTTTATTGACTGATCGAGTGATTGATTATATTATATAATGTATTTACAGAAAGGTATTCCTACTTCTAGTTACCTCTCTTAGCTGTTGGTCAGAGATTCTTCCCCCACCTTCTTTTTAAACAAGAGCTGGGAAAATAAAAGGTGACCACAGGGTGAGAGGTCCCGGCCCTAACCCTAAGTCTGGGATGGCTCTTGCAGCTGAGCCAGTGAACCTCTTCCCTGGTGGCCATCCAGCCTGTGGCCAAGTCCCTGCTTACCCAGTACTCCTCATAGCCCCTGTGCTGAACAGGCCATTTGCCCAGAGATCCTCTTGATCCTCATTGATCCTTGAATTCTTCAGGAACCAGGTTGGCGAATGCAGTTGCCAGGTGTCACTGATGCTACAGAACAGCCCTGCCAGCCCCACCCTGCGGTGAGTGCCCCCAGGAGCTGCCCAGCCAGGCCCATGCCACAACCCTCCCCTTCCCTCAGCCCTGCAGCCCAGCTCAGCAGCCCCAGCTTGTTTGTATCTCCAGCTGAGGCTGCAGGAGCCAAAAGTGAGAGACTGGAAGGGGAGTGAGGGAGGGAGAGCAAGGAAGGGAGGGGGTGAAGTGTTTTCTGTTTTTTTTTTTTTTTTCACACACCCTTATAAGGCTACTGAAGTCATTACCAATGTAATAAACCAGCTAAGCAAGCGGGAACGCCTCTCCCCAAAGTTCCCTTCTATAAACACAGCCTGGCCTGCCCCCACCTCTCTTTACCCCTCCTCCCTGCCCTCCCATCCTCGTCCTCGGGGGATTTACTCTCCCCTGACGTTTCTTTCTTACCCAGCCCCTTTTCCTCCTGCTACTTTCCTTTTTCCCTTCACTGGTTGCAGGGGGAGGGAGCCTGCCAGCTGTGAGGGCCTCTGTGGTGAAGGAGCTGGTGCTGATGGTGGTGGTGGTGACTGCTATGGGACCCTGAGGCCTGGCTGGCCAGCAAGAGGGCAGAGTTGGCCCAAGGAGGAAGACGGCGAGGATGTGCGGGGGGTGCTGAAGAGACGCGTGGAGACGAGGCAGCACACAGAGGAGGCCATCCGCCAGCAGGAGGTGGAGCAGCTGGATTTCCGTGACCTCCTGGGCAAGAAAGTGAGTACCAAGACCTTGTCAGAAGAAGACCTGAAGGAGATCCCAGCAGAGCAGATGGATTTCCGCGCCAACCTGCAGCGGCAAGTGAAGCCAAAGACTGTGTCCGAGGAAGAGAGGAAGGTGCATAGTCCCCAGCAGGTCGACTTCCGCTCTGTCCTGGCCAAGAAAGGGACTCCTAAGACCCCAGTGCCTGAGAAGGTGCCATCTCCAAAACCAGCCACCCCGGATTTTCGTTCAGTGCTGGGCAGCAAGAAGAAATTACCAGCAGAGAATGGTAGCAGTAATGCTGAGGCTTTGAATGCCAAGGCAGCAGAAAGTCCCAAGCCTGTGGGTAATGCTCTGCCCTCAGAGTCCTTGAAACCTTTGGGCAACGCCAAGCCTTCAGAATCCCTGAAGCCCATGGGCAATGTCAAGCCTGCTGAGACCCTGAAACCCGTGGGCAGCACCAAGCCTTCAGAATCCCTGAAGCCTGTGGGCAATGTCAAGCCTGCTGAGACCCTGAAACCAGTGGGTAACACCAAGCCTTCAGAGTTCCTGAAACCCGTGGGCAACGCCAAGCCTTCAGAGTTCCTGAAATCCATGGGCAACTCCAAGCCTTTAGAGTCCCTGAAACCTGTGGGAAACGCCAAGCCTGCCGAGACCCTGAAACCTGTGGGCAATGCCAAGCCTGCTGAGACCCTGAAGCCCGTGGGCAACATCAAGCCTGCCGAGACCCTGAAACCTGTGGGCAACACCAAGCCTTTAGAGTCCCTGAAACCCGTGGGCAATGCCAAGCCTGCCGAGACCCTGAAACCTGTGGGCAACACCAAGCCTTTAGAGTCCCTGAAACCCGTTGGCAATGCCAAGCCTGCCGAGACCCTGAAACCTGTGGGCAACACCAAGCCTGCCGAGACCCTGAAACCCGTGGGCAATGCCAAGCCTGCCGAGATCTTGAAACCCGTAGGCAACGCCAAGCCTGCCGAGACCCTGAAACCTGTGGGGAATGCCAAGCCTGCCGAGACCCTGAAACCCGTGGGCAATGCCAAGCCTGCCGAGACCCTAAAACCTGTGGGCAATGCCAAGCCTGCCGAGACCCTGAAATCCGTGGGCAACATCAAGCCTGCCGAGACCCTGAAACCAGCTGGGAAAGAAGAACTCAAGAAGGAGGTTAAGAATGATGTGAACTGCAAGAAAGAGCATGCAGGAACCACAGATAATGAAAAAAGACCAGAGAACCAAGGGACAGCCCCAATCTTCAAGGAGAAGCTACAAGATGTCCATGTGGCAGAGGGTGAGAAGCTGCTCCTCCAGTGCCAGGTGTCCTCTGACCCCCTGGCCACCATCACCTGGACACTGAATGGAAAGACACTCAAGACTACCAAGTTCATCATCCTCTCCCAAGAAGGTAAATGAGGGGGGTCAGGGAAGAAGGGGACCCTGTACCATTGTCAGCTCATGGAGCCTTGGTCTTGTTGATCACTGAATGTAGCCTGTAGCTAGGGTTGGAATGCCCGGCCCCTGTACCCCCCTCACTCATAGGGGAGGTCCCCCTGCCACTCAGGGGCCTTGGGTACCTGCCCCGTTGCTGGGGGTGAGAGCTGGTATTCTGGTCCTTGCAGTACATGCCGATGTCTCGGGATCCATCTGGCAGAGTCCTCTCATGGCACCCCTCCCCGGCTCCCCAGAGTAGACCTGGGCCTGAGCCGATGCCTAACAACTCCAGCATGGAGGGGGCCTGGAAATGGGAGGCATGGGGACTGGAGCCGGCAGGGGGCTCTAAGTGAGAAGCTGCTTAAGCAGCAGCATTTTCGGTGTGGGGAGGGGTGTGCAGTGACCAGATGGCATGGGACTGTGAGTGGGGGTCATCAACAATTTAAGTCTTGATTGCATTGTGTGAGTTTGAAGGGACCCGTGGGGGAAGCCAAAACTGCTCCTACGGCACACATGGTAAACAGAGCTGCTCGCTTCCTAATTTGGATGAGACTTTTGTTTGCTGATATTTTACATTCTTGGGTGGTAGGGAGAAGAGGGGGGGCAAATTCTGCCATCTGTGGCCTTTTGGGGTCTGGAGCTCTCCAATGAGCCAATTTATACCTGGAGAGGAGAGAGGGGGGAGAGGAGTATTTTCCCTGTACCCTCAGTTAGGTTTGAAGTGTTTTTGTAAATACCAAGCCTGGGTGGGAGCTCCAAGGCCGGCAGGCATTCTGCACCCCACTCTGGCAGAGGGATGGGTTGCCAGTACTGCAGTAGTGTCCTGCCTGAGCTGGGGGCTGATGCTAGTGGCTCTGGCCAGGGTAGGGTACATAGAAGCTCCCTGGGGAGGTGGCTTTTCCCCTTGAGGGGCAGAGGGCAGCCACAGCAGAGGCTGGAGTGAACAGGTCCTGTCAAATCCAGGTCAGCTGATTTGTCAGAACTACTCCTCCCCTGAGTGCTGCTCTCCATGCCCTCATCTAGCTGCACCCCTCCCCACTCCCTCCCTCACCTCTCATCCCTCTGCTGCCTCGCTTCCTCTTAAAAACTGGAATGAAGTGTCTGGAGATAGCAGAAACCCTCTCAGCTCACGGTGATGTTTCTCTCTTCACTCTGCATCCCAGACAAGCAAATCCAGAACAGCCGAGCATGTTGAATCTAAACACTGAAGGAGTGAAGGGGAAATTGGCCAGCAGAGAGAAAAACATGTTATATCTGTTGACGTGGTAACTTTTTCATATGGATGTCCCCAGATTGGCATCATGCTCCAGAAATCATAGCATCCATTCCCTGCCTCTGCTAGTTCAGCCTCCCTGAGGTCCACACATAAGTGGGCATGGGGGATTACCAGGATGGGGTGAGATGTCCAAGGGAGTTGATACCACAGCCTCCCTGTCACCCCTGTAGGGCCCTCCCAGTTGGAAAGCGCTTGGTAAAACTGATCAGAAACCTTGATGGGGAACATTTCACAGTTTACCCTGTGGAGGTCTCTCAAGCAGGAAGGAGGGTGGGCAGCCACCATCCTTGGGACATGTCCAGTCACACAGGCCTGCCCAATGTGAGGTCCACTGCTGCACCAACCTCAGGGAAAATGAGGTTCAGACAGCTGGGGGCAGTGCCCAAAGCCGTGCAGCTGCTCTGGGACCTCCATGGGATTTAAACCCAGAGCCACCAAGGGCTGCTTATAAACACAATCCACTCAACTAAGCAGTGTAAGGCAGACCCCAGCCCTGATCTTGGAAACATCCTGAGCTTTTAACCATTGTCTTCTCATGCCCACAGGGCCTGGAGGGTGTCTTACCTGCTGATCTCTTAGTGTTAACGGGCATAGAGACCCCAGCTACTCCAGCATCCCCGCCCCCCCCAGAAACTGTCCTAAAGGATCAGTTTAGGTCCAAGATAGCAGCAAGAAGAAATGAGTAAAAGAAGGCTAGCACAAGAAGATAGAGACTAGGAGGGAGGGGAGATGATTACAGAGACAGCCCCAGATTGAACTTTAAAAAATATTCTAAATATTTAGAATTTCATTTAAAAGTAAGAATAGCTTGCATCTGTTGTACATTATATGTGCCAGTCACTGTCCTAGGCATCTTACATTTTTCATTCATTTAACCTCACAACAGCTACTGTAATGTCCACCTAACACAGAAGTTATGTACCTGTCCAAGGTTGCACAGCTCATAAGTAACAGAGCTGGGATTTGAACTCAGGTGGTTGAGTTCCCCGTGCCTAGACCAAAATGCTATATTACCTCTTAGTTAATTCTTCTTAGTTTGTCAGAATAATGGTAGCAGTTGAGAATTTGTCTATCAACTGTAAATACTGGTGGCTATTTACTCCTCGATATTGCTAACAGTTGTCAAAATGTTGAAAGACTGGTGGGGCCCCCTGGGTGTGCCAGGTTTCTGGTGTTTTCCCTGCAGTGGAGGAAGCAGACCTTGAAATAGGCCTGTGTAGCCACAGTAGGGGAGAGTGCCTTGTCTCAAAATAGCAGCTCCATCTTTATCCCTTCACTCACAGCATCTTCAAGAGCCTGGTGTTTTGTTAAGGAGAAAGGTATTCTAAGGCCTTAAGTGCTAAGTTGCCACTTCAGCAGGTCTCACTGCAGGGAGTAAGGATTCTGAGAGATGGAATGGATCTTCTCTCAATAGATCTAGAAAGAGAGGACAGCGACTCACAGTAGTAAACCTGTTGCAGCCACGTGCTGAGGAGTGTGTCAGTAGGAGGAGAGGGGCTGGAGGGAAAGGCTGATGTGAAAGTGCTGGGCCTTGATCTGAGCCTAGAAGCAAGCCAGGACTTGGATCAGCAGGGAAGCAGCAGGAGATGGGCTCTCCAGGCAGGGGTCTGCAGCAGCAAGGGCAGGCCTGCTCACAGCCTCTCCATGGCCCCAGTGTCATCCTATACCACGCCAAGGAACTAGCATCTAAAGGCCATCAGGAGCCATGCAAGATATTGGAGTAAAGAGCACTGTACACAAAGCTGGGCTTTAGGGGTTTTGATGGACTCCATGCCCAAAAGACTAGGACCAAGTCTACTGAAGAGATCAAGGAGAAAAGTGGTAAGGCCTGGACCAGCACAGTAGCCATGGCCACAGAGAGGAAATAACCAGCCCAAGAAACAAGGACAGAAGAGAACCTGTAGCCTGGCTTCATGGGCAGGGTGGAGCAGGGGTAGGTAAAGAAGAGCAAGGAGTGGAAGACCACTGAGCACAGGTGTCTGGGGTTGCAGCGATGGCGTCAGTGGGAATGAAGAAGCTGGAGGTTTGAGGGGGTTTGGAGAGGAAGATGAAGGGATTGGCTGCACTGGTCTCCCTGTTCCTCATACTCAGCCCAGCACCCCACCTCTCTGACTTGGAATCCTTCTTGCCCCGCCGTGCTGATCCCCATTCTGTCGTCTCTTCTGCAGTCAACATTCACTTCCCCAGGATGCCTTCCCAGACCGTGTCACCATTTTTGGCCATGAGATTCTTGTGCTCTCTTCCCTCCCCATCGACATGTATATCTTTGTGTGCTGACTGCTAGAGGACGCTCTGGTTTAGGTTTTGGGGGGCTTCTCAGGTGTCTGTAGCTTGGATAGGCTCCGTAGCCTACAGAACCCCAAGACAGGATTATGTCCACCCCACTTAGCACTGAGGAGAACAGAAGAGGTATGACAGCCATCTGTTGGGTCAATGGTTAGTTAATTTGTGGAGGGACACAGACATGTGGAGGTGACCTTTCTGCACCCCAGGTCTGCAGGGCTGATGGGTGCCAACAGCAGGGCCCACCCTCCAGGGATGGGTGCCTGGGCCTCCCAGGCTGTCCCCAGCTCTTTCTGGACCGCCTCTGCTGAGGGGTGGGAGGCGGATGGCCCTGTGAGCCAAGGAGAGCAGAAGTGCTGTGGTGCTTGTGAGAAGCACTTGATTTTTACACTTTGCTTCCCGTCTCCAGGCCAGGTTTCTCCCCTGGCAGAACATTCCTCCAACCTAATAATGATGATTCATTTTTGTGGCCATTGTCAACCGGTGATTCATTTTTAATTGCCTTCAGGGTGGAATCTTGCAAAGGGTTTTTCAAAACCTGTGAAAGTTTATCCTACAAAAAGTGGGTTTATGCAGCATCTACTATGCTCAAGGCATTATTCTAGCCCCTTTCATTGAATGCATGAGCCATTTGAAGAACTCTGAATTAAGAATTTTTTTTTCCTTCTGGAAACTGTCATCTTTTTCAACAGTAGGTTAGATTTAAGTGTTCATGATCTTTTTCTTGCATAGATCCTACCAGATCACCAGCTACAGAAATGTGCCTTTGCCTTTCTGAAAATGGCTAATATTTTTTTTTACTGCAACTGCATTCCAGGCTCAGGAAAAACATTTAGGATAGACGTGGTCACTGCCCTCAGGGAGCTAGTGTGGGAAGCAAGCATATATTTCAGTAATGGCCTTGTGAGACATGTTTTGATAAAGGTGAGCCCAGGGTGACTTGGAAGCGCAGAAGAGGTCCTCCTAGGACTGGAGGTCCTAGGTGACAAGGAGGCCACTGTATCTGAGGAAGTGATCTGGGGATGAGTCCAGTGTTGGCCTCAACTTACCAGATAGGCCAGGTCAGGGAGGCACTGCAGAGCCTCCAGGGCTTCAGACCACTCCCAACCTTCATCTCTCCTCTCCCCCACACCCCCATCCCAGTCAAAAAAAGGAGTGAGCCAGGAGCTTTAGACATGAAGCCCTTACTCCATGGCCATGAGAGGCTGTCTCAGGCAGACTCTAGCTGAGCCACTCGCTCCTCTCCCCCACACCCCCATCCCAGTCAAAAAAAGGAGTGAGCCAGGAGCTTTAGACATGGAGCCCTTACTCCATGGCCATGAGAGGCTGTCTCAGGCAGACTCTAGCTGAGCCACTCGGTGGATTCCTGGTTCTGGCCTCTCCCATCCCCCTCACCTCTTTTGCAAAATTCCCCACCAGGCTGAGACTTCTTAAAAAAAAAACGCTGGGAAATGGTTTTTCTTCTGGAGGTCAGGAATGAGCTGTCCCACAGGAAATACCAGATTCTTCATCTGGGGTAGCTGATCCTCCAAGCCTAGGCCCTCTGCAGCCTGCTGTGTGGCCAGGAGTCCAGCTCTGCCTGCTCTGATGCCCTGCCTTGGGGAGGTGAGGGGGGGGTTCCCCTGTTCCCTTGCTAGTCTCACTACTGTCTTGGCAGCTTGTGTCATTTTGGTTTAAGGCCGAAGGCAGCTGGGGGACTGAAACTGAAAGAATATCAAGGATTTGAGCAGGATGTTCATTGGGGATGGTGAGATATCTGCTCCCAGAGCTTCTGCCCCACCCAGACTGAGGGAAAATTGCAAGCTGGGGTCAGTGTCCTCTAAGCCTTGAGTTGGGGCCAGCAGCCGTCTCTGCATCCTCCTGCCTGCCCAGATGAATGGGAATGTCTCTCCTGAGAAGATAGTTCTCATTCCCCTATTCCTGTGCTTCACGGTTCCCACTCTTCATGACAGACTTCTTTAAAATCTGACTAAATCCTTTCTGTTGCAGTTTCTGCAGATTCTGCCTCCTAACCACCACGAGAAGACATTGTGGCCCATTGCCCTCCCCTGTGGGAGAAGAGAGTGGGGCCTTTCCTGAGGGGTGGGGTTTGTGTAAGGGTGTAAGAGGTGGGAATAGGTGCAGATCAGCCAGCCTGCCGCAGGTGTTTGTAGCTCTAAGGTTTCTCTGTTGAAAACATGACCCAGGCACCAAGAAGTAAAGGGAAATATTACGTCTTTACCTTCTCTTCCAGCCTTAGTGAGGGTCTCTGTGCAGAGCTAATGGTACCCTTCCTCTTTCTGAATATCCTTGTATCTGTCAGAAGGCCCTTTTGGGTCACGCTGTCCCCCACACACACTGGGATGCACACCGCTCTGCCCTCCCAGTGCTGATGGCATTGTGTATGTATGTGTGTGTATGCTCAGGCAGAGGGATACACGTGGTTTTGTCCTCCTCCTTGTGCGTGGCTGCTGCCCTGACAATAAGGGCAGCTTTGGGCAGGATGCCATGTGGTTGGCTTATGTGTCTGATGGCAAGAACTGGAGGACACCTGCCTTTCTCCTGGGCCAGGCAGGTCCAGTCCTCAGCTGGCCTCTCCCCATACCCCAAGGGGTTCCCCCAAAGGACAAGTAGCCAGCTCTGGGGTGAGAGTACAGGGATGGGCTAGGACCAGACTCCAGATTCCTGTGTGTGCCCAGCCTGACTCCTCTTTCTCCCAACCAGGTGAGAAGTGGTGCGCTGGGGCAAGTGTGGACCCAGGTGAGGGTCCGTGGGGAAGGAAGGCCATCCCCACCCCTCTCTGAGGTGACCAGAAGACCTGGCACTGAAGGGGACAGCCCCAAAGTGCCTCTCCCAAGCCCAGTGCCCCTCATAGGCTATGGTTCTTCAGCTCAGACACCAGTCCTGAAAAGTCAGCTCTGGGGTCCTGGGCTACATTTACATTCTCCTTCCAGCACAACTTCCACAGGCCTGTGCCCTCCTGGACAAAGATTCCTGCCCTCCCCCACCTACCTCTTTGTTCAAAATTCCCTTTTCTAAGATGCGTTACCAGAATCACTGCTGTGAGCTGGGCAGAACCCCTCCCCTGCCACTGTTCCTGCCACAGGTCTGTAAACCTGTGCCTGACTCCTTATCTCTCGGTGACATGCAGTGTGTAAGCCATGTCCATCTGTTCCTGCTGTTGTATTGGATGCTCTCCAAAGGCAGAGACTATTTCTCTCCCTCCTTCCGTAGTTTTCCATCAGGTCCCCAGAAGTGGACTCTCGAGTGGGGGAAGGGATACCAGGCGAGCATATTTAGAGATCACTCGTTTTGGACAAGGGTTATCAGCACAGAGTGTCCTGGCTTTGGTGAGGAGAGGGGGCTGATTTCCACGCGAAGGGATACCAGGCGAGCATATTTAGAGATCACTCGTTTTGGACAAGGGTTATCAGCACAGTGTCCTGGCTTTGGTGAGGAGAGGGGGCTGATTTCCACGAGGCCTCTGGCTTTTGGGCTCCCAGAGGCTACCGGTGTGAATTACTCTCACCAGCCATGCTCCAGCTGCCAAGGCAAGTATTGGGATCATACCTGGTCCACTCAACAGTTCCTCCTCTTCCTCCCCAGGCTCACTCTGCTCCATCTCCATCGAGAAGGCACTGCCTGAGGACAGAGGTTTATACAAGTGTGTAGCCAAGAACAGTGCTGGCCAGGCCGAGTGCTCCTGCCAAGTCACCGTGGACGGTAGGTTGTACCCACTCATCACCACAACACATACGCAGGGATCCACTTCTCAGCTCCTCCTGTACCTGAAGGGAACTGCCCCATAGCTGCCATCCCTGACCAAGGTGTTCATTTGGTGGGTGTCAAGCTATCATTTGCAAAAACCAGACTGGAGGAGAGCGGCAGCTCTACCCATGGCCTGCACCTCCACCCCCTGGCAGAGGAGGGGCTGCTCACCTCTGGGCCCTTGCCAGTCCTGACCCTCGACCCAGATCCTTCTGGGCAGGGAAGTACCAGGCAGGAGAAAAGACACACCCACAGGAAAATGACTACAAAGATCTTACAAGCTGCAGTAAACAAGGGTCTGTGCAGCTGGGCAGACCAGTGACACAGTCTAAGACCGTGAGGAGGAGGGAGCGGAAGAGGGTCCATGGGGAGACCTCCTCAGGAGGTGAGTCGGGGCTGGGGCTTTGGGTAGAGAGAACAGGCCACCTCTGCCAAAAGCGAGCAGTAATGATTAACAGACAGAGGGAGGAAGGAGATGTGGGGGAACAGGCTTCCCTGTGAGGGCATGAGGAAGGGGCAAAGCCCGGCCTGAGCAGGAGCAGATGAGATCTGTCCTAAAGAAATGCAGAAAGCTATTCCTGACTCTTTCCTACCCTCCACGAAGAGTGTAGAACTGGAGACTCAGAAGCAGAATAGGCCTTGTGAGTTTCAGACTGACACCTCACTTTACGGATGAGAAAACAGCCCATTCAGAGGGGAAAGCGTTCTGCATGAGGCTCCCACGTCCTGTGGGGCCCAGCCAGGCAGGACCCCTGCTCAGGATCTGCATCCACTGCCCTTTCTTTGTGTTTCAGTACTTGCTTGGAAATGTCTAAAAAGGTAATTTTGGGAAAGCAGTTTCTTGCCCTTGAAACGCCTGGTTACTAACCTTCAGTGACACATCAAAAACGAGTATCCAAATAAGGCATTTCAAACACCAGCTTTGCTGTTGTTCTGACTCCTGAGTGTGATCACTTGAGTTCTAAAACCCTAGCCTGTTTCACCTCCATTCCACAAGATGAAGAATCTTTGTCCTCATTCTTAATTTTATAATCCCATTTCCTTATCACAAAGCTGAGATCAAAGGTACCTAATGAATGGGAGAGTGGGGGAAAGTCTTAAAAAGAAGTCATATTAGAAAAGACACAGTGGCAATGCAAATTAAATTGTTAATAGCCAAAAATTAAGATGATATTGTGCACATCTCCACGAAGTGCTGTAAATGTATCTGCCTCAGGGCATCTGCATCTAATGAAGCAGATTTGATGGGTCAGCGTTTATGGTCAGCTCACAAGGGGACTGGTGGCACATGCCTGAGGCTCTGGCCCAGGGCTGCTGCTGCTGGTTGCTCCTGAGTGTGTCTGCCCCCACCTGAGCTGTCACCCACCCAGGTCAGAGCCCCGCTTCTTTCTATACAGGTGCTGCAGTTAAAAGAAAAGCGTTACCGGGAACTTGATCCTGGAAGTCTGTTCCTAACAGCTCCACTGCTCACTTGGACCTCAGGCTGATTCCAGCTGAGCTGTAAGGAAGCCAGCCTGCTAATGAGGTTATCTGCTTTGGAACCCCAGCTTCTAAGTCCTGTTTACATGGCTAGCTGAAGGCAGGAGAGCAATTCATTCTCCTTATCTGTAAAATATCAGCACCTTTTCCAGATTTATTTTCAAGATGAAATTTCCTTTTCCCCTACAGAATGCACTTGGGAATTTTTATTTTATTTATTTATTTGCTTATTTTAAGGATTTGGGGAATTGTTCTGCAACTCAAGGGACTTTGTTTGCCCAGAGGTCTGCTGGAAGATTCTCTTGCTCTCCGTATCTTGGTGACCATCATTATTTATCTTTAGTCCTTCAAAGGCAGGGTTTGGCCTCTGGCCACAAATTAGGAGATGGGTCTTAGAAGTAAATCTAGAAAAGTGATAGGAGGTAGACCAGCTGAGATAGCAGTGCTGACTCTCAGTTAGTTGGGCTTTGTTTTGTTTTCAGAGAGAAAAAGGGAAGGCCCCTTCACCCCCACTCTTTCCCCCATACTTGGAGATATATGATGTGTCCTGTATGCTGGGTGGTCTTCTTGCCTCAGTTAGCTTTATTTTTCCATCAAGAACCACCTGCTGGTGAAGGACTGCAGTCTCCTTAACTGCTCCCCTGCCACCTTTCCTTTCGGCACCTTTTTACTTCCTTTTGGCTGGTGCTCTGCCAGCTGAGTAGGTTTCCTGTCCTCATTCTGTCACCCCTTCTCAACTCTCTCTGCTCCCCAAGGTATAATACTTAGAGATCCCAGTGGGTTTGTGTATCCTTTGAAATTATAGGTAAAATTTTGTGTGTATGTGGGTTAGAGCATCTTTGTGTAGAGACAGGTCCATAGTTTTTAATCACATTCTCAAAAGGAGTCATGAATCAAACTACGTTGAAGAACTGCTTGTCCCCAACCATGATTGAGTGTTCAAACCCAGACATTTGGTGGGTTCGTCCAATCTCCATCTGCAGCTGCCTGGATAGGCCCAGTCCTGCATCCCTCCCAAGGGGCAGTGAGGTCTCTCTCCACTAGGTGTGGGGACTGCAGCTGATGTGGCCTTTAGGCTGTCTTCCCCCTGCCACTCACATGGCTGGCCCCGGCCCCTGAACGTCACACACTATCTCACTCAGCCTGTGCCAGACACCATTAAAACCATACATCTGTGGCCAACATAATGATATATTTCAAGACCTCATAAAAATGAGGCAAAGAGCTCTCATCAGCTGTTCCATATTAGCCAAAATACTTTCCATCATATGGTAAAGATAAGGGAGGTAACCTTTATAATGCAGCACATCTGGCTATTTTAATCATGCTGTTTGGCTCTTCTCCTTAAGAAACAGGGTGTTTTACAACTCCTCTGATTATGGTTATACCACCCTTCCTTCCAAACTCAGCAGAAGTCAAGTGTCAACTTTTGCCACAGAAGAGCACTGAAGCCTAGAGAGGGTAAGGACTTGCCAGAAAACTTGTCCAGAGGAGAAAAAGCTGACCCTCAATGCCTGCCATGGCCAGAGACTCATGCATTTTGCATTTTTGGTTTGTGTAGCAGTTGGGCAGGATATCTTTCTCAATGAGCAAACTGAGGCCCAGTGAGAATCAACAGTCTTTCTGGGTCACACAGACAGTACACAGCAGATCCAATGTTGGAGGACCACACTGCAGGGTAGATTGCAACATGAATTACCCTGGCAGACTGCAGGTATGTCTGGTTCTGAAGCCTGCACCTTTCTGCGACCTGGCCCAGCCTTGCTGTGCAGTACATTACCACAGCAGGGCCCACTCTTCAGGAGATCCAGATCTCCTTTGGTAACAGCCCTCGCTGCTGGAAATTCCTTCTGCACATGGGACTGAGTAACCCACTTCCTCTCACTCAGACCCAGATGAGAGGCGAGTAAACAAAGCCCTTGTTAGGCTAAAATCCCAAGATAGGAGTCAGAAGACACCTTTGCCCCTCACTGGTTCATCCAGCCCTCCCCAGCCCAGGCCTCCCCTCCCCAGCCACCCCAGCCGAGGAACCAGCCTTAGTTCCCAGTGAGAATAGGGCTCTATGCCCATGCACGGTTATGCATGTCTGTGGTAGGAGGGGACCTTCCAGTGGACACCTGTGCCACCATTCACTCATTCAACAAGTATCTGAGTCTCACTCTGTGCCAGGCACTGCTCTAGGGGCTGAGGTTAGAAACAGTAAACAAAACAGGAATAGTTTCTGCTCTCAGGACTTTAATTCTAGTGGGGGATAGGCAGTGATACAGATGAACAGACCTCTCATAATCTCAGGTGACACCACGTGCTATGAAGAAAGCAAAGCAGGGTAATGGGGGAGGGAATGCTGTTTTTAGAGAGGGTAGTTGCTGGGGCCTCTCTGAGGAAGTGACATTTGAACAGACCTGAAGGAAGTGAGGGACAGGGTCACAGCGAGAGCACAGCCCTGAGCTGTGACTATGCTTGAGGCATTCCAGAAAGAGGGAAGAGGCCAGGCTGGTGGGAGCTGTGATCTGTGGCAGAGTGGGAGGAAATGAGGTTGAGGAGGACAGGGACCAGATTCTTAAGGCCATGTGGGCTGTGACAGGAAACCGGATTTTATTCTAAGTGTGATGGGACAACACTGGACATTTGTAAAGGATCACTCAGTGTCTATGGTGACCAGACCCAGGATGAGTAGGAAGAAGAGCAGGGAGGCCAGATGGGAGGCTGCCACTATAGCCCAGGCAGGGGATGATGGCAGCTTAGACTCGGTGAGAGAGAGGAAATGATCAGACACATCATCTGTTTTGACGCAGGGTGATAGGGCTTGCTGATGTTTTGGATATGGAGGGAAAGAAAGGGAAGTCAAAGGTGACTCTTAGTTTTTGTGGGGGAGCGAAGATCAACAGTGGTACCGGCCTACTGGAATCAGAATGTGGGGGCTAGGGGACAATCACGAGTTCTGTGCGTGTGACATTCATCTGCCTATTAGGCATCCCAAGTGGGCGCGTCACATAGGCAGGCATTAAATCTGGAGTTGAGGGGGAAGGTCAGTGCTGGAGGTAGAAAGGACAGGGAGAGCCACCCATGTGTGGAGGACGTTTAATGCCCTGGGGTTGAATGTGGTCCCTACAGGTGAACGTGGATGGAGAGAAGGAGGGAGGCAGAATCCAACACTGGGAGGTGGGGGCAGGACAGGGGTCTGCAAAGGAGACTGAGAAGGAATGGCCACAGCGAGATGGGAAGAAATGCAGGAGATGGGGGTGTTCCAGAAGCCAAATGGTGAGAATTTCAAGAAGAAAGGAATGATCAAGATCAATGTGTCGAACGCCGCTTTTCAGTAAAGGTGAGTGTTGGCACTGGACTTGGCAATGTAGAAATCATTGGTGACCTTGACAGGCAGGTTTTAGGGAAGTGACAGTAACAGCAGCTGCCTCCGAGGCATCCAGAGACTGAGTCCCTGCTCAAGGTCACCCTGACCAGCATGCCTCCTGACCGTTGCAGGGCCATCGGGCACTCCTGGTCGTCGTTGAGCTGATTTGGACCCTTCCTTCTGTTGTTGGCTTTGGTCCTGCCATATTCCTAAGTCTGCTCTCACTTTCGTATTTGTTGTTTAAATCGTCACAGGCAGCTAATGGGTCATGGGATGAGTTAAAGTGCTGTTTTGCAGGTCAAAAACAAATACTGGCGGATGGTATGGTTCCATCTGACGTAGTCATGGAAAGCACTTAGCACAGCGGGTGTGCAGAATAAGTACTCCATAAATGTCAGCTGCTACTTTATGACCCATTCACTCCTCTCCACTCTCTGCTGAGGTGCTGCTTTTCCCTAGTGAGGAAGGTCGGGCTCAGAAAGGCTCAGGAACTTGCCCCAGGACTCAGAGCCACTAAACAGCAGAGCCAAAAAGGAGCTCAAGCTTCCTGACTAGAACTCTCTCTCTCCTTATCATGCCAGCCTGCTGTTTGCTCTTGGACAGAGGCAAGCAAGGGGGAGTGGGCTGTCCCAGGGAGCTGAGCCCAACCCCTCTGCCCTGCTGCCTCCTGGAAGCTTCCCCCTCCCTAGGATCAGAGCTCAGGGAACCAACCTCTTGTGGGAAGCAAAAGAAAAAACTGCTGCCCTGGAGGGCCTGAGTCCAGAGCTAGCCCTGGAGTGGAAGGGGTGAGGTGGTGTCCATATAAGGACAAGTCTCCTCTCTATGTAGAGGCCCCCAAGGCCCCACACCTCCATCTCCCTCCCCCACACTTCGCTGGGGGCATAACCAGGCCAGCAGAGGACTCCAGCCCTGGGGCCCAGATCTAGAAATGGAGTTCAATTTCATCACAAAATGATTAAAATAGACAGAAAAGACAAGCTGCTCTTAAACTTTTATTACTATTATTTTTATCCCCTGGGCAGCTGTGCAAGCACAAAGCTGGTTTTGATTAAGCGCTTGGCCCTTCCAGCCTACTCCTTGCTGCAGTTCTCACAGAGGTCTGTGGCTCAGCATCCCTGGCCAGCCCCATGGTGTGCATGCAGCCCCCATGGTGCTGTCACTTTGGGGGACTTGGGGAGGAGCACCACCCTGTGAGGCACTAAGTCTGGGGTGTGCCTAGTTTGAAAAGGAAAGTTGAGCCCCTTTCCTCATGGCCAGATGGAAAGATAAGGTGCAGGGGAACTTCTAAAAACAAAACTCAAGCACATCACAGGGCAGTGTACTCAAGCGTCCAGTGAGAACCCAGCACCCCAGAGCCAGCATGGACGCAGTGGGGGTAGGGGCTGCTCAGTGGGCTTTCTGAAGATGGAGAATTTTAAAGCAGATTCAGGAGGCAAAGGAACGTGGGTAACAGGAAGAATGAATTCATAGGTAAATGATCATTTTGTGATCTCCAGAGCACTATTGCATGCATTCTCTCCTTTGGGCCTCAGAACACTGTGAGGTAGAGAAAATGAGTCATTCCCTCTGTACAGAAGTGGCACAGGGCAGTTTAAATCACTTGCCCAAGTTCCCAAGATTGCTACGACAAAGCCAAAGCTAGAACTCTCCTCTCTCAGTCTCTACTGTGGTGATGCTTAGAAGCAAAGCCCAATATACCCCCAGGAGGAGAGAAGGAATCTCAGTCCCTGCTACCCTTCTTCCAGCAAACCAGGAAAACTGGGCCTCTCATCTCTTTCTTGCTTGTGCCTTGGTTTACCCACCAGTGAAAAAACCCAAAAAACCTGATCCTTCTTTTTCTGTCTCCTGTGTGCTCTGGGACTCACCAGGAAAAAGAGAGTTCTGAAGCAAGAAACGCAGATCTGTGTACGTGCGCTGTCCTCTTGTCCTCTTCCTTAAGAAGGGGCAAACAAAGAAAAAAATTATTGTTGTACCTTTCTTTATATTATTGTCAGTGACATCAGGAGTGCTGGTCTTGAACTAAGGGGAGAAGAGAGGGCCCAGGATAAGGAAAGCTTAGAATAACCCTGTGTCCCTGGTTTATGGCACCCTGCTCCCTATGTGTCAAGGGGGAGCACTGCTGGGTTTTCCTGTCTCTTGGAATAGTCCCTAGCCCCTCCCTGTGTCCCCACCACCCAGTTGAACCAGGATTGGGGGAGGTGAAATACCTCAGTACAAGTGCTTCTAATATGTGGCCAAGGCAGAGGATGACAAATAAAACATACAAAGGGCTTTTCTGTGGCTGAGAATGGCCATGAACCCTGGGGAAGACATCCAGTGTAAGAGAATGAAATCATCCCCTCCCTATGGGATGTTCCGCTCCTCCATCTGTGTCCACATGGAACTGGTGCTCTGGGGTGTAGGCAGCCCCCTGAGGAGCTTGGCAGTATCAGCTCTGGATGGCCGGGACCCCAACTCGCCATCTGGGGCTGCTTTGCTCTTACGAAGGTAGCAGGAGAGGGTAACACACAGTGGGGAGTAGAGGTGGGGTAGGGGGCTGGGTTTCAAGTGCTGCTTAAAAGAATTTCTTCCAGCTTTGTTCGCTCACCCCATCCCCTGTCATATACTGCTAGGAAGTCCCACTTAAGACTCACACTTAATCATTTCTGCAGCTGTGCATGTGTGGCTTCTGGCTCTCTTTGGTGGGGATTGCCCCCAAGCCCCAGGGGGCCTGTCTACCTCAGAGCTGCTGGTGAGCCTGCACCGGGCTCTGTCCCTGGATTGCCCAGCTCTTGGAGAATGGATGGGTATAAGGTTGGGCAGGAAGCAACGATGGTGTTTAGGCCTGAGCAATGATGATGTGTGGAGGGACTTGTATGGGCAGATCCACATTCTGGAGCAGGCAAGGGACCCAAGTGCCACCTAGAAGGAGAAATACATCCAGATGGGAGCTCAGAGTATCCATATGCCTCTTTGTTTCCAGCCCCTCTGTCTGTGCTCTTGTGCCCACCCCTCAAAGCCCCAGGAACCCAGTCTAGGCAAGATCAGCCAGGACTGTCCACTCTGCCCCCACTGTAGGGATGGTGAGATGGCCCTTGCTCCCCAGCCAAGCCACAGGAATGTGGCTGAAGCCACAGCTGGAAAGTCCCACCCTCTCCTTCCTCCCTCTGAGCTGGCTCTCTTCAGGAACAGGAAAAGGATGAACAGGAAGGGGGCACAGAGGGGAGGCTTCCTCCAACACAAAGAGTGTTCCTTGTTGGGGGAAAGGAAGACTGGTGAAAATGCTGGAGCGCAGTGATAGCCATGCAGCCAGCTCCTTCTTATCCAAGTTCCTGGGTGGTTTCCCCACAACTTCTTAATGTCCATTCTCCTGGGGTCCTGTGAGAGCTTTTTCCACCCAGCCCACAGTGACGTTTCCCTGTTGCCCCGACAACAGAGGGTTTCCTATGGCATCATATGTGCATTCTGTGTGCACATGGAAGAGGGAGCGTGGAGTGAGGCCTGAGGAGCTGTGCGCTCACCTGCCGGCATTTTCAGTTCTGCCTGGCAGGTGGCTGCTGCAGGGTTTCACTGGGCCTGCCTTGGGGAGAGGTAGCAGAAGCCCCCAAGATGGGGACTCAGCCTCAGAGGGGGTGAGACATCTGTGTCTGGTCCATCAGTGGCTGTCTGTAGAAAGAAGCCCAAGAAATCAGAGTCTGCCAGCCCCTCCGGTCCATGAGCCTGAGGGCAGGGACTCTGTCCCTCCTTCCTCTGTATGAGAGACCTCTCTGTACACAGAGCAGCCTTTTGAAAATCCAGAACATTTAGCCTGAGTCAAGGCCCAATGAAGGAGAAAGATGGGGAGAGGTAAGCCCTGGTGCTGTGTGATTTGTGGCGGCGTGTGCTGCTGTGGAGGGATGTTAACCAGCTCCAGGGGAGCCCGTCCATCTGTCCTGCCAGGGTGGCTGTGCTCTCTCCACCTGATTTATCAGGCCCAGTGGAGCAGACTCTCCTTGTTTGGTGCTCTCGTGGTGGAAGGTGCCCAGCCACAGCAGGCGCAGTTCTGCTCAGGGATTGGGTCCGCAGGGCCCTCAGAGCGGAACACGGGACAAGGGGGGGATAATTTTGATTGTGGTGGGATTTTGACTGAGGTGCTTCCTCTGCTCATTTCCTTGGCAGCTGCTGACTGATGTTTGTGTTACCTGTTTTGTTTCAGATGCTCCAGCCAGTGAGAATGCCAAGGCCCGGGAGATGAAATCCCGGAGGCCCAAGACCTCGCTTCCTCCTGTGCTGGGAACAGAGAGTGAGTACCGCTCAGTGCTGCCCAGCACGTACAGGGCGGGCAACCCTAGGCGTCAGAGCCCAGGCCTCCTGGTCACTCGCTCTTGCCCGAACTTCTGCTAGTCGGACATGACTTGTTTGTCCTCCTCCCCAGTCTCCCTCAACCTCACTCGCACCCTTCTTACTTCTCACCAAGACCCCTGTGGTTGCTTCTCCTAATCACTCCCCAGGTGACTGTCCTGCTAGGGGGACTTTTCTAAATTGTAGCTGTGATTGTTATCACTTCTCGTTGAAATACCCACTGGTCCCCAGAGCCTATGAAATCCCACAGTCTCTTACACATTAGTGTCCTGGACACGTCTACCTTGCATTTGCACACACACGACCCCACCTGTGACCTGGACTCTGCCCCTCTTCCCCAGCTCTGTAGGGGGCAACTCCCTTTACTCCTATTTTATACCTAAACCAAACTGAGCTCCCCACTGTGCACTGGACATCCCTGAGTTCCTTCTTTCCTGCCTTTGTTCTGGCACCTCTCCCCATGGGACATGTTTCAAGCAAACTCCCGCTGAAAAGCCACCTCATCCCTGAGCTCTTCCCCACTGCAGTTCAGAGTAACTCTTCCATCCCGTAATCTCCCACAGCAAGAGCCCCCCCCCCCTCCATTGACTGTCTTCTTCCCAACATCGTGGTGATGCATCTGCATCTCCTCCTCTCCCCTCCGTTGTGCATTTCCTGAGGGCCTAGACTGGCCAGTCCAAGCAGTTACCTTTCAGAATGACATGTGTGTGCCTTGCTTGTGGGAGGCCCTACTACCGTCTCTTAGAATCAAATTGCTGCGTGGTATAAATAGCCAAGCAGTGAGGGGCTTCCTCCATGACCCTAGACAACTACCTTCCTCTTTTGGATCTTGGCTTCCCCCAGGACCTCCTTATCTATTAGGCACAGTGTCTAGGGTCCATAGTGCTTTTACAGGCCTACAAAAGAATCTTGTAGTTCCTTTTAAAATTAGAAGGAAAAAAATGAACTTTTAGGTCAAAGACAGTGTTTTAATTCATATTAATATATTCATCTTTATTCCAATGCAGTTATAAAATATAATCTGCATAATTAAAATATAATTTAATACATATTATATATGTTATATATTTATATAAATATATATATTTTTTTTTTTTTTTTTTTTTTAAATGGAGGAAGGGGCAGAACTTCCTAAAGTCCTGAAAAGTCATAACGCAGCCCTGGCTTCCCCTGCTGATTATTGGTCTAATTTTGTTATCAGAGCTGTCCTTTGAAACCTACTATTTTAACAGTAGGTGCAGAGTTGTTTAGACATTCCCAATATGCTCTGTTTTAAAACAAAAGACAAGCTTTTAATTTTACCTATGCTAGTAAAGTAATTGAGCCTAGTTAATTCAAAGACTACATCTCTTTTTCCATAACAAGCCAGTGTTTTGTGACTTAGTTTTATTCTTTTCCTTATTTTTTCCTTTTCTTTTTATTTATTTACTTATTATTTATTTATTTATTTATTTTGGCAGCTGGCCAGTGCAGGGATTGAACCCTAGACCTTAGTGTTATCACGACCAGGCTCTAACCAACTGAGCTAACTGGCCCGCCCCTTTTCTTCTTTTTTTAAAGCAGAGCTAATGATGAGCTTGGGTTCCTTGAACATATACCAGCCAGGCTGTCAGGGGGATGGATACCCACCTTCAATATATCAGGGCAGCCACATTGGAATTATAATTTCTCATGGATATTTAACCAAACTGGGGAGCCTCAGATTATCAAGAGTGGGCATTTAATAAGTTGTTGGAAGTGCATAAACAATTCTAAAAAATAATATAGTGAGAATGGGTTAATAATTTTATTTTCCAAAAGTATTACATGGGCCCATGCCATGTTAGTTATGGGAAGACAGGAGCAGAAGAGGTGTGGGGTCATAGAAGAGCAGCAGTGACATTGGGGTGTGACGTGGTTGTTCAGTGCCTAGGGCAGCAGCAGCAGCAGGTCATGGTGTCTGAGCTGGAGCTCAGCAGCCTTCTGGCCTCAGCCCTGGTACGTCCATTCCAGTGAGATCCTGAGGGAGGTGAGGCAGGGTCAGAGGACTGCTGTGGAGGAGAAAAACAAGCTTGAGACAATAAGCAGACACAGAGCTGGGCTCCTTGCCCTGGAGAACAGGAGGCTGTGGAAAAGCCCAGTCAGGTTGTCATCCTCAAACTCAGGAGCAGCAGCTCTCAGCCATAGCTGCATATTAGATTCAACAGGGAGCTTTTAAAACCCTGCTGCCCAGGATGCACCTAAACTAATTAAGTCAGAGTCTGAGGGGTGGGAACCTGGCTTCAGGGTTTGTATAAGCTCCCAGGTCATCCCAGTGTGCGGTCAAGCTGGAAACCAGCTGTTCCACAGGGAGGCCTGGTGCCCCCGCACTGTTGGTCTTGCGAAGCAGAAGGGGTCTCCCCTACTGCCTCTGTTAAGTATGGAACGCCTCAGGGTCCCTCTTGCCAGCATCCTCAGAGTGTCTGGAGCACCTTGGAAGCGAGCAAGGTGCCCTGATGTATGGATGCTGGAAGCCACAGTTCTTACCTCTAAAAGGGAGCAGAGAATGGGGCTCAGTGTCAAGTAGGGGAGCGGCAGGGCTAGCAGAAGGTGCTTCCTCTCCATAGGAAACACACACACACACACACACAGACTTCATGTCTGCTGAAGGGGAATTTCACTCTGAAGAGAGCCTCCATGTCACAGTTACAGACATCTCATCCCCCAAAGAATGAGAGTGTGTCTCTATGTATGGTAATGGCACTTTGCATCCCTTTGCTGGCCCATGCACCCAGCCCCCATCACCCCACACCCCACACCTGTTACTCCTGGGCACTGAAACCATTAGCAGGGGGGTTCCCCTTGCCCCTCCACTTGCCTACACACCTGTGTTCTTGTCCTTCAGAAACTTGCACTCTGGTGCCTGAGGGGCACCATAGGGCCTCCCCAGAGCCTCCTGAGATGGTGGCTGCCCAGAGATGGAAAATGAAGGAGATGTCTTTTAGGTCTGCACCCCTAGTTCTTTTCTCCCTTTTGGGGATAATTTTTATTGCTTGTTAATTACATAAATTATGTATGCATGCATTTGTATTTAAGCATTCTAAACAGTGTAGAAACATATCAAGTATAATATGGTTTTTTTGGTAGCTGGCTGGTTTGAGGAACTGAACCCTTGACCTTCGTGTTACAGAGCTGTGCTCTAACCAGCTGAGCTAACCAGCTAGCCCTCAAGTACAATGTGAAAGTCCTCTTTCATCTACACCCAATTTCACTCACAACTCAAATACACTTGCAGTTACTTTTTTCTGTACATTTACATATGTATATATGCAAATATACAAATACATGGAATCATGCACTCCGTATACCTCTGCAACTTGCCTTTTTCTCCTAGCATTGCCGTCCCCAGTCCCAGACATCCCTGATTCCACGAGTGGTCTGGCTTTGTACGTGTGTTCATTTTGTTGAGAAGTATCTAATCTAAGGAGGAAATGTGTCTTTCCTGAAGGATGGCCAAGTGATTTTCTGCTCAGGGAGGTTGTGGCCAGATCCTTCTTTGCGCACCCCCACTCCAAGTCCTGTGAGCAAGCCATGAGGTGCGAGAGGGGACAGCACTCATTCACTCTGTGGCCTGGGAGGCCCTTGGGAGCCCTGCCGCTGCCCAGTACTGAGGAGCATGAGGAAAAGCCAGGTCCATCTGCCCCGACCCCAGGAATGGGATGGGAGAAAATTGACAAAAGTATAGGTGCCCCTGCTACACGCCAGCTCACAAATACAAGGGAGGTAGAGAAGTCTGGGCAAGATTATGAAGGAGGAGAGGAGTGCAGTTCATGTGGTGTGGTTGGAGGCGAGTGATGATGTGAGAGGGGAGAAGAGGTGCACAGGGGCTTGGGGTGAAGCTGCACAGATGCCAGACTGACTCAGGATCAGCTGCTGGTCAAGCGAAACCAGAGCTTGTTGAGAACCTATGCAGCAGGCATTGTCTTAGGGGCTCAATCTATGTCACTGCAGCTAAGTCTCACTCAACCATGCTACCAGTAATTGTCCCCATGTTATAGATGAGCACAGCTGAGCCTTAGAGAACTGAATTGTCCTGCCCAGGGTGTCAAATCTAGAAAAGTGTAGGAATGTGAGGCCAACCCTGTGAATTACTGTTGTCTCAGGGCTGTGCTCTGTGCTGTCCACGCAGGGTTGGGCATTGCTTCCCCTGGCCCATGGGGGCAGCAGGAGGCAGCAGGGACTGGCCGATAGGACTGGCAGAGGTGAGATGGCCACTGGTACTGGGGGAGAAGGAGAGCAGCAGCTGGCATGCTTCTCTGGATCTGGAGACCCGCAAGGGTATTTGCTGCATGTCTGCTGATGGGAATTTTTTGTGATAATTATTTTGATGTAATTTCAAATTTACAAAAGAAGTTGCAAAAGTAGTACAAGGAACTCTTGTGTACTCTTTACTTCGATTCACCGATTGTTTACATTTTGTTCCATTGCTTTATCATTCTTTTCTATGTATATATCCCTATGTATATTCAGATGGATGGGTAGGTAGATAGAGAGATACCGTTTTAGACCAAATTGGAGACATCTTGCCCTTGTGTTTATGTATCTCCTAAGAACATAACCACAATGCAGGTATTGAAATCAGGAAATTTGGCACCGAACCAACACTGTTATCTAATCAATCTACAGTTTACATTCAATTTTTTAAATTATCCCAATAAAGTCCTTTATGGCTATCTTTGTCTCCTCTTGATGAGAACTTAACACCAATACTCCTGGAACACGTCATCTACTCCTCCAGCCCAGAGTGGGTCTTGTCCCACCTTTGGAGACAGAACAGGAGAGAAGTACACAGGCCCAGGGAAGAAACACCCAGGACTCCTCCATCTGAGCTGAGTGGGGCATGGGGAGGCAGGAGCACCCTATGGACCTCCAGATGCTGTTGTTTCTGGGGGGCAATGCTCAGACCCAAGGCAGAGCAAGAAA